TAGTCGACTAATCGTGGCAGCCCTAATGGCAGCAAAGACTTATCTTATTTTATCTTTAGAACAGAAGATAAGACAGAGAAGAACAAAGACGGCTGTAGAAGAAAGCTATCCCGTTCGTTGGAAAAATTATTTATTGTACTTAAAAAAATGTGGTTTCGATATGAATTTTGTTTCAGTATGCAGATATGCATATGCAAATGTGATACTTTCATTTTTTAAAATCTTGTCTTCAGTGATTTCTTAGTGTGAATGTAGATTCTGAAGGAGCACAGAACAAAAACAGGCTAAAGCTGCTGCTGACTGCTTTCTTTATTAACCCAGCAGCTGATGAAGTGGACACAGTTACTGTAACTGTAATATTTTCCTCACCATCACTGTTGAGCTCATCATTTCCTCTGTAGTGGCTGAGCTGAGTCCAAACAGATGAAAATGTTCCTCCGCTGCTCCATCAGACTCTTCTCCTCCTGCTGATCAGCTGGGACACAAAACAGATGTTTGTTAGACTCCACTGAAAGCTCAGAGTGTCCCACATGTTCATCAGACAACACAGAGTGGAATTCGAGTGACACCTGAGCGTTGTGCTAGCAGGTAACTTCAGGAGAAACTGTGAAATATTTCATTTTTCATCAGACAATTTTGAGTGAATCATGTTCAAGACACCATCATAGACCGATAGACACGTTTTTGAATGAATCAGACACCAAACCAGTCTAAAGCCTTGGACAGGGAGTCCTTTCACAGCCAGCATCCATCAAAGCACGCTCAGCTGCAGAGACGAGAAACAGGAGCAGAGTAAGAGTGACCTTCATTGAGCTGACGTGACTGAACAGAGCCTCCCTCTCTCAGGCTTACTCCCAGTACGCTCAGCGAGAGACATTAAACACAAAGCAGAACCTATAAAGATGTTGGTTTATCATTTATTATTTCACTAATAAATACAATTATCTTCTGTCACAGGGGTGTCCTATCCCAGCTACGATGGGGCGAGAGACGTGGTACACCCTCAACAGCTCCCCAGCCTGTCGCAGGGCTAACACAGAGACAGACGCCCTTTTAGCCGTGAACTCCTTTGCAAACATAATTGGACATCCACAATAATGCACAGCTATGATAGAATGATTTGCTAAACCTGCTGTCCACTCTGCTGCCATTCTGCACTAAAGAGCAGCTGCATGACATTCAGGTGATATGTGATATGCCTCAAGTGACTCCAATGGTGCCCAAAGCAGCAGCATCGCTTCCATGAAAATCTTTGGTCGGAAAAACCAGGAGGGGGTGTTAATCAAAGCTCCTGATTAAAAGCTGGAATGTGAAGAAAAGTGATCTTTGCAGCTGCTCCATGAATCTACAGAAAAGCTACAGATGTTACTTGAAAACATGCAGATGATCTTTTAATTTAGTCTGTTTGCCAAAAATGGGATTTCCAGGATTTGCCAAAAACGACTGCAGGAACGTAAACTGTTATAAATCTGTCACCAATATGTAGGGCTGCTCAATTAATCGAATTTTAATCTCGATTACGATCTGGGCTTTCAACGATCATTAAAAA